TCACAGCCCGAGCTTTGGCTGAACGGTGAATGCCTGAGTGAACTAACCGTGCGTGTTCTCGTGCGCCTTCCCCATCAACTTTCTGTTGGTGCGCACAACAGAGGCCGCAACGACCGCCCGAATTCCAATCCTGCGCCGTCGACACAGAAAGACCCGAGTCGAGCTCGGCGCGTTAACACCTCGGACAGAGATCAGTATGCAGAGTGAGATCTTCTCCAGACAGAGAATTCCCCACGTGTCTTTGCGTTGCCTGACGCAGACTGAAATAAAAAGCCTTGTGTGTTCTTTACCGACCACATTCTCCGACGCCTGCTCTTGTGCCGCATGCTAAACAATGTAAATGGCGAAAGCTTTTTTTTTTTTTTTTTTCCTCTTGAGTGGGTTATTCTCAAGTCATCTCCCAGGGAAAAATGCCGGTGATTTCCATATTTTAACCGCAATATGTGGTTTTCTCTCCGAGGCTCGCCAAGTGTTGCTTACTCACTGAAAGCATATTGAAATTGATTGTGTTTTTCTGTGTGTGTCCATACGTGTGTGTGTGTGTGTGTGTGAGTCCCAAATTTCCCTCTAAAGGATTTTTTTTTTTTTTTTACTATTTGATCCGTCTCCTTTTTAATAGGATATTGTCGTTATCTTGCACTTTTCCTCTCTGTCGCCATAAAGACGAATAAGAGTGTTGCCAGAGGAGGAATACGTCCTCTTCTTCTTTTCACACGTCAAACACACATGTGAATTAAGACACGGGGTTCTTGAATTCTGATTGCAACGGGCGGTCGCAGATAAACAAACCACTTTGCAGCCTTTCGATATTTATGACCAATTCCTCCCGAGTCGAGGCCAAAATACGTTTTGACTTGATTTGTAAAAAAGCAGAGAATCGTTAAGTTTGCATCGGAATGATTCTCTTCTGCTCCTGTGGCGCGTTCGTCCGATCGTGGGGCAGCAGCAGTTTCCCCAAAAAAAATAAAATCACAATATCTTCAGCAGGTAGTTGAATCAGTGGCTCAGACCTAAGGCGTCATATTATCAGCAGCGTCTGGACAATAGCAATAATTAAATTTTCCCATCTATCGGAGGATAAGATCCACGATACAGCGCAGGTCCTTAGTCTCCAGACGGGGATTTTCTTTTCGTCTTTTGTCTGCTGTTGTTTGAGCTCTTTCACTGCAGCACATTCGATTTGAAATGAAACGATGCGTGAGGTCTAAGTGCTGACGCTCGGCGGTGTAAGAAGGTGACAACCTTTGTGCACATAGTCCCGACGATGCAGCAGGACAAAGAACAGCAGAAGAGAACGAGTCTGTAAACGAGTAGTTATGATGCTCGTGCCTGGAAAGTCTACGAAAAGCTTTCCAGGGGAAGATACAAGTGTCTGCTGATCTCTGTGTTCTGCAAACGTTTACAATCAAATATTGAATATGACCTGATTTCTTTGAATTTTTAGGAATATGTAAAAATAGTGGCTTCTACTGACAAAATCCAGCTGCAAGTCAGCGTCTTGTTCCTCTTGTTTCACAATAATCACGCCTCCACAGTGAACCGTGGATCCTTCATCAGAGAGAGCTGGATATAAGAACTGTTGTGAAATCAAATTTTACCTCAGGTGCAGATCGTAGAGGACTCTGCTCCGCACGCTGACTTTGAGACTCGTGCCGAAAGCCCAATTTGTTGAGCGATTGCCACGATCACGGTCAGTGACCGGAAAAACTGCACAGTCAAATTTGTGTCTCGGTGAGTTGACACAAACCACTGGGCAGCTGTCATGCGTGCGGTTTTAAATTGAAGTGTGCGGTGGTGAGACCCAGTAACGTAAACACTTAATGGAAAATTACTAAAGCTATGAATATCACAAAATTACAGTGTGTTTCCCGATGAGTCACTCGGCTGGAAACCGGAGCCAGGGCTCCCCTGTGATTTGGACTTTCTGGTTTGTTTTAACTAGAAGTGAAAGGATCAGTCGATTAGAAAAAATAATCAGCAGCTGTTCTCACAGTCGCTGGATTGTTTTTTTTTTTTTCAAAATCTGTTTCTGTTTAATATCATTTAAAATAAATATCTCAGGGTTTGGGGGAAAAAAAGTTGCGCAATTTTTGACACTGTTTGTAGATTTTTTTTTCCAGAAGTAAGAGTTTGGATAATCAAATAATTGTTCGTCATTGTCTTACAGACATTTTTTTGTAAAACTTCTGGTTTTGTACAATTGAGACGATAACTTACAGACTAATCAATCTCTACGAACCTGTTGAAAGAAATGAAATCATCTGAAAGGTACATTAGAACTGTTTAGCTTCTCATATGAAAGTACCTCAGGTGACCACTAAGTGTTAGCGTCAGCAGAAATTCAGAGAAACATCTTATGTCTTCAGGAAGAATAAGCAAACCTCGGAAACTGAAAAGAATTCCCTGGATCCGCCCGTGTGTTCATATCTGCTCCAAAATGAAATGGTTTCATTTTTGGGTCCCGTCCCAGCGTTTCCGCAACATCCCATGGAAATGGCTTCAGTCGGACGGATTTCTTTTTTTTTTTTTAATTTCAAAAACTTGACTTGTCTTTCAAAGTTTTCCTCCTTCGTTGACTGAAAGTTATTTGATTCAGTTGCTATGGTTTCCGCTTTCTCTCCCCTCCTCACATCCACCGGGGCGGCCTCCATGTTTGCCAGAAATCGGAGTTGTGTCTCGGTGGCCAGGATGGCAGCGAGTAACGAGTTTAAAACTTCTATTCGGAAACAAACGGCCGACGTTGCCAATGGTGCAGCCGTCGTTCCCGACAGTTTACCGAGCCAAGCCGCGGCATTTGTCTGCTATAAAGAGATGTGGATATTCAGCAGGTTTATAGGGGTTTTCAACACCAGACAATTAAACACGTTGTAAAGATCATCTGTTCCTCAGCTGCAGCAAAAACAAGTTCTCTTGTTGTTTTGCCTCATTCGCTCGCATCCTATTAACTTGTGTCTGTTTCCCCCCCCCTCCCCCCTCTGCTGTCACCATCTTATTAGAGATCTCATTTAGAAATGTTCACTTGCGCTCATGCTATCAGATCTCACAGCCATTGTGCTGAAACCAAACAAGGCTCGTCTAATTTCTTGTTGCTCCATCGCTATTAATGAAATAACAGCGTGGGGGCAATTTAACCACAACAGTGGCGGCAACGTCTTTTCGCCCATTCGACCAAAGTGACGGCGCACAGCGCTCGATATGAAAACTGTAGCCCGGAGCAATCTGAGTTCTAAACTGTCGTCCTGGCCCGGTTGGAAACTGACCTTGTCTCTTCACACCCCTGCCTCTGTGTCCCTCTCTCTTTATCTGTTCTCCGTGGTTGACTTCCCTGTTTCCCGCTCTGCCTCTCCCCCGACCAGATAACTTCCCACAGATGGCTCATCAGAAGCGCTTCATCGAGCGGAAATACAGGCAGGAGCTGAAGGAGATGAGACGCGAGCGGGAGCGGCAGGAGATGGAGACTGACGAGGTGGAGGAATGTAGGAAGTGACAGCACCTTTTCTCTTTTTGGGGGAGGGGAGGGGAGGGGAGGCGGGTGCGGTGCCATCAGTACCTGCATCCAGAATAAAGAAACGCGGCGGCACGCGTGGCGGTCGTCCAGGAACGAGCTGGCAAAGCGGAGGCGTCACGGGTTTGATGAAAAAAGAACGTTGTTGGACCAGCTCAGGAAGTCACTTCAGCTGGTAACACTCAAAGGAAGTTTCTTTCACACTAAACTCATAAATTGTGTTGATATATAACTTAACTTAATTTATTTGTGTTACCAGTTTAAGACTTTTCTTTTATCACCGTAAACATTGACTCACTCTTCTTAGTCTTTTTTTTTTTTTGTCCTTATGTTTAAAGTTAATCTCATGACGCAGTGTTACGGCCAGTCGAGAAAAAAAAGTGGTAACTTTACAAGAATAAAGTCAAAATTTGACAAGAATAAAATCTTAATTTTTACAATTGTATTACATTTCACAATCTTGACTTTACTCCCGCACTGTTACTTCCTTTCTTATTAGATTACGACTTAATTGCCATATAATTATGACTCATTTATTCTCAAGCACGACTTCATTCTTGTAATATTACGACGTTCTCGATTACCGCTTTATCGTGCAAAACTTTTTTTTAAATGCCATGATTTCCTTTTCTTCAATATGTCCTCAACACTGTGGTGTAAAGAGAGCAGAAGACAAATGATTAGAGGTAAAGCCGCTGTCATGTTTTATACTGTTTAGTACTGTAGCGCTGTCGGACGAGGCCTTTGTGTGTTTGTTGCCTGAACTTAAAAGCTCATGAGAAACTTTCAGATCCAGAACCCACAGCGGGAGCTCACACTGTTACTGACACATGCCAAAAATCAACAAACCAGATAGAGGACATGTTTTTAAATGGAGTATGAAATGTGAAACAAATATCAAAGTAATAATATTGTAAATAAAGTTCCAGATTCAGTTCTGATCAGTGGAAAAAAAAAAAAAAAAAAAAATCAGATTCACTGTCTGTTTTTGAAATCCCCACTCGTCTAATCCAGAAAACGAGGGTTGAGCCAATTACACTCCATCACTTCTCCGTCACCATCTGTCTCACATCTGCCACTCATCCTCTAATAATCAAAATGTGATTATTTTTTCCCCTATTTTTAAACCTTTCTCTGAATCCGATTGGCTGACGAGCAGATCTTAATTATAGATTGTCTAATTAACAATTTCCTCAGCTCGGTAGCCTCTGGATCCAGCTATTTAACAACAGCCAGCGCATTAATAACTATCTGACGCGTCAAGTCTTTTATTCTCAGATTTATTGAAGATAATAGAAACACACCTGAGAGGCTGGCGGATGTTTCGCCCGCCGTGCGGCGGCAGCGGCTGCCGTCACATCCTGCCTGGATGAAGTCCCCAAGAGCTCGTGTGTTTATGTGATTCAGGACGAGAGAGAGAGAGAGAGAGAGAGAGAGAGAGCGTCACAAAGAGAAACGGAGAGGCTGATTTTTAAAGATATTTAATTGTGTCATATAAATATTCAGTACAAAATATCACGGTTTACAAAGCAGGTTGATGAATGGCCCCTTACGCTACCACGACCTCTCCGACGGTTTCTACGTTGCCAAAACTCCACTGCTCAATCACATGGTCACCAACATAACATATCGTAGTAGAGGTGAGCCCCCGGGGGCCGACCGCGTCTACACATCAACAACCACAGATCTATTGTATCCGGAGGAAGAGGACGTCAGCGTCACCATCTAGTTAGTCGCCTCAATGTAGAAAGAGAAAACACACGAGTGAAGCCCGGGAACGTGGCGTGATGTGGCGTGTTGTGGCGGTGCGGTACGACGTGCACGTTTCTTTTATCTCAGCTGAGCACGGTGCCAAAGCTCGGAGGCAATTACACCCTCGATAATAAAAAAAAAAAAACCCCGGTCTTCATAACGGCGTTTTGCTGACATCCTGTATGAACAGAGAAAAAAAAAAAAGCGACGACTGAAGGAAAAAAGCGTTTGGCGAGCGCCGCTCGTCGTGTTGATTTCCATTTGAGACCTCACATCGTACCTGGAGGCAGAGAAGCAGTTTGTTTTTCAGAGTGACGGGTTTTTAAACCCATTAAATGCTTATCAGAGCGACAGTGCCACAGTCTGAGATGGCCTCTTACCCGATGGTGAACAAAAGCTAATAAACAAAAAAAAAACACAAAAAAAAAAACATGTGTATACAATAACCGAGCAGAAAGAATTTTCCAACCACTGTTGTCGTAAATTGGATTGTTTAATGTTTGCGATTCAGAGGACGGAGAGAAAAAAGTCGCTCTGTGGCAATTATGCCGTCGTGTTTTGTTATTACTGCTTCAAATGTCTGATAAATGTCAGCCTCTTCACAGGTCGGCCTTTCGCTAAAGTGAGGGCAGAGCTCGTTTTTAGCTTCGCCTGTTTCTTTTTGTTGTTGGCATCGTTCCGTCCGCCCACTTCATCCTGCCGTCTTCACTCCCGAGCCCTTTGCTCAGGAGCTCCTCCGTCATTTGAGAATATTAAACCGGTTACGCATCATTCTCACTGTTTTCCTCTGATCCACAGTTAAACCGCGTTGTGAGTTCTCGACGCGTGATAATGTTGTGACCTTCTCCCCGAGCCGTAGGAGGCGACCCCGGGTTCCGGGAAACTTATTCCGCACAGCTCAAAGGTCAGGTGTCCCTTGATAAGCATCTTTATGGAGAAGGCTCGTCGTCCCGCAGGAAATCAGCTGAGTAAAGCCCGAACACTCGGCCCCGGCTTCATGTTCGCCACGACACACAGGACATTTAATGAAAGACGGCTCATCTGAGGGTGTTTAAAGGAAAATACTGGTGTTCTTTGCTTTTTGGCACATCTCTGTCCGACGTGATATTTATTATCATACACTCGACATTCTCTGTTTTTTTTGTTTTTAATGCCGTGGTATGAATTTGTTTTATTTAAAAATCAAAAAATGGAAATTGACTTTTGACAATCTCATCACTCTCGCTCGGGTGAATTGATTCAAATGCTCGAATTCGGTTGTTCCTAATCACCTGAGGAAATTAAATAAAACCGTTTTACAGGAAGAAATTAAAATCGCACGATGAATTTTAATGGTAACCGTCCACGAGACCTTTCATGGAATCTAATCTGACGCTGCAGTTTGAAGCTCGGCAGCGTCGTCTCCGCGCTGAACCAAAAAAAAACCACCAGTATTTTCCTTTTAAAGCAACATTACGTAACTTTAAACCACCTCAAACCAGCAGCTTGGTTAACATGAGATCGGTAACTTGTTGTTCTGTGTAACTCTGGCGAGTGGGTTCGATCTCCACTCTTCAGCTGTCACCATCAGCTCCAGACAGTTGAAGAGCGAAGCTGAACTGTGATCAGTTAAAAACACTTGAGAAGTTATTTAAAAACCAGAGTTCATCTCCAATGTTCAGCAGGAAACTTTTAAATCGTGAAGAATTCCAAACAGAGTTTTTGGTGGATTTGTTACAGCAGCAGCTCTTCTGCTTCAGGGAGCCGGGGATCATGGGTAAATATCCAGAGTTCGGTTGGGTCATCGCTCGCACGCGAAGCCCGACGGAATCAATCCCCACGTGTGGCTGCAGAGGGCGCTGTGGCTCAGTAAACGTTACAGAGTGTTGCTTTAACCGAGCCTGGCACACGTCAGTGATTTTATTTTTTTATTTTTTTTTATCAGTGAATTGAAAATAACACTGTTGGCTTCACACAGAAAACTGCTTCTGACGACATTCAGCTCAGTGAGTATTTGGTATTTCCGCTCGCCTCACAGCCGACAGCTGTGTGGAGATGAAAATCAGATACTGTAAAAATGACAAACTGATGAGTTTGTGGCCCGAGATCCCAGAGTCCTTTGCCTCGGCTTCGTTTCAGCTGCCACTTGTCGACAGCAGAGCGCCGCAGCCGACACAGAGCCCGGCGAGATTTCTCGTGGCACTTTGTGGCCGAGGCGTCCGCTGCGGAGAAGTGGCTTAACGCCGTCGCTGAAAGGGAGGCGGGGTCGCTGGGACGGTAGAAATCCGTAGAAAAAAACCAAACAACTGTACAGCGTATTGTATCATCTCACCGCACGTACACAAGCTAAGATAGAACTCACAATATGCAGCAAGTTTTTGTCCCGGAAACACTGAAGAGTACACAGGCGTATCTGTCGGCTCGCAAAACTGCTCGTTGAACGTGTCCATCACAGGCAGCTTTGGAAAAACAAACCCAAAAGAAAAAGGAAATGTCAGTATAGATATATTTGGGCCTCATGTACACCCCCACCCCCCCCCACCGTATACACACACACACACAAAAAAAAGTCTCGACACAAAGTCTCTTCACTGTTCCCTCGCGAAAACGCAACTAACACTGACTGGACACACAAAGCCTACGTTTGGTCACCGGAGGGACGACTGAAAGGTGATCGACGGCGGCGAGAGAGAGCACTCGGACAGACAGGGTTCGTTTCTCCGCCCCCGCGCCGCTCTTCTCGCCGCACGCGCACCGGAGTTGGCCCGAAAGTTTTTCAGTTTGACTTTTTTCGCTCCTCGTCCGTGTTCCAGGCTCTCGTTAGGAATCCCTGTCGCTGTCGTCGTCGTCGCCCCCGTACATGTCCGCCAGTTTCTTAAACCGCGGTCCCCACTCGCTCAGGTAGTTGTAGTCCTGGTCGCCCTCGGTGGTCACCGACTCCAGTGAGCTGAGGGACTCGGCTACGGAGCCGTTCCCCTCGTAGGCGTAGGTGGCCAGGGAGTCGTAAGGCGGCGCCGTCGGGTCGCTGTCGTTGTCCTGGAGCCTCTGGTTGATGAAGTCTCTCACGTCCCCGTTATTGTCCCGGGTCGGGGGCAGCGCAGGCCGTCGGACCGGAGGGTAGAAGGTCTCGGGGACGATGTCCCTCCGCTGCTTGCTCTCCTCGATGGCCTCCGGGTTGCGCAGCGTTCCGATATCAAACGCCTGGGTGTCCTCCTCTCCGCCCCCCTCGTCGTTGTAGCTGACCACGTTGTCTCTGACGTCCTCCTTGGAGATGATCAGAGGCTCCTTCTTCCTCTGTCTCCTCAGGGCCGCAAACAGCACCACGATCACTGCGGGAGAAACAGAGAGAGCACACAACTGAATCTGGTGACTGAGGTTTGATTCGTGCAGCTGAGATTCTGCTCAGATCAAACGTCGGCTGTGGTCACGTCGGAATTATCCGCGGTGAATCAAATGAAGTGGTGAAATTCAGAACAGGCTCTGTAACACCTGTGAGCGATGCTGTGAGGCCGCGTGAAGCCCACTAAAATAAGTAGAGGGACACTTTCCCGCAGCTCGACTTGGAAGTTCAGGTGCATGTTGGGTAGTTTACTCACTGAGCAGAATGATGACACACAGCAGGATGGCCACCAGGGCTCCGGTGCTGAGTCCCGCCCTCGCCGTCAGCGCCTCGGCGTTGCACAGCTTCATGTTGCCCTCGCGGTCGCACGTGCACACTCGGATGGTCAGCGTGCTGGTGCTGCTCTGCATCGGGAACTCGCCGTCGGAGATGACCACGGGCACGTGGTAGATGCTCATCTGTAGACTGTTGTAGCTGTTCCTGCGCGTGAGGATCCAGGCCGTGTTGTCTGAGAACAACAGGACGTCCCGTTAGTGCGCGGCAGTAAATAACGTTCCCAACAGTAAAGCTGCACCACGTGTCAGAGACGTCGGTTCTCTAAATGATTTCTTTCTCTAAGATCCAGGAAATATCCAGACCCATCAGAATTCCAGATCTTTAATTCTTGTGTAATCTTGTTTACAAACAAACCAACCAAGAAATAAACAGACGGGGGTGGAAACGTAACCTCCTCTGCGGAGCTAATTCACACTCAGGTTAACATCTTGTTGAATTCAGCTGGAAACAGTTTAAAAAGTTAATCACAAGACTCTAAAACGAATTCAAGGTGAAAATATACTCAACACATGTTCGTGCTACACGTCCTTGAACGTCATTGACACAAGTTTGAAAGACTTTTTGTCACAGCACAAAAAAATAAAAGGCTTTTACCAGAAGAACGCTTCATTCTCAAGTCACCTCTTGTTCCTCTTGTTAATAAAATCATTTGTTTAGCGTGACAACGTTTCGAGGAAGAGACGTAAACAACGCAGGATTCATTTGTCCTCTTCTTTGTTCCACCAGAGAAGAGAAGTTCAGTCTTTTCAATGCCTTTGATTTATTTATTAAATTGAACTGAAGACTCTCCGTCGTGTGTAAAAAACCTCTTGATGATATGCGGAGAGTTTATTACCTTTGTTATCACGGACAGAGAAGTTCGCCTTCCCAGCAGCCTCCTGTGCAAGACTGAAGAAGAAGCGGTGTCCTCCGAGGGGCTCGTCGGGATCTGTGGCGCTCACGGTCTGTATCCTCTGAAACGTGAAGTACACAGGGTGAGTTAACGCAAACCTCCACTTCCTGCCATCGATGTAAATGACACAGTCTCTGTGGGATCAGGCTCCGGGAGCTTTTCCGGAGTTCAGGGCATCGGTTTGGTTTTCAGGCGACAAGATGACGCCCATGAGGAAACAGAAAACCCTGCTCACAGTGAAACACTGGGGAGGCTGAGGACGAGAGCGAGGAGGCGTTTCAGACAGAAATGTGTTGAAGGTCTTCGTTCTTTCAGCAGAGCAATGACCCACAGATGAAATGTTTTAAACTGACCTGAATCATATTGTGAACCTTTAGATAACTCAGATCTCACATTGTAGTTGAGACTCATGCAAACTCTTGATGAAGGGAAGTTAGCGCTGGCTCAGGTTCACTCGCTGCGAAGAGGCCGAGACTGAATTCACACAAATTCATGCGCGTTAACAAATTTATTCCGCAGGTTCTTCTTCATCCTCCCTGACCCGAGTTCAACCCTCATATATATATCACAGGCCGGTGGTTCCTCAGGGGAAATGTTGGGTCTCTATAAATTATGATTTGAAGAAAGATCCACACGAGCTCTGAGATCTTTCAATAAAACTTTCAGGAAAATCAAACGAGTGAAAGATTCTCCGAGAAGTTTTTTTTTTTCCTCAGGTGCAAATGTTGGTGTTTATTTCTACAGATGGATGAAATGAAGCGAGGCCTAGTTTTTTTTTTTTGTGTGTGTCTGCCGACTGCTGCGGCCTCCACCCACATAAAACGTGATTCTTGAGGCCGCGTGAACTTTTCCCTTTAAACCTCGAACGCCAAAATCTAATCGCGTCGTCCGAGAGAAGAAATGTGAACGGATTCTCTCGAGGTCTTCCAGAGAAAACACGTTCAGAGTCCAAGTGACTGTTTGGACCAAATATGAAGAAATTCCCCCCCGAGCGGATCTCAAGAAATCAAGCCGAAGATAAACGCACTTTGACCTTTAACTCCCGAAATCAAATCAGTTCGTCCTCGGGCCTGAATGTGAAGGGAGAAACAGCTTTCACCAAAAAAGTGGGAGGTGAGGACGGAGAAGCTGAGGGCGTGGCCACGGCTCACGGGACTCACCTGATTGGCTTTTGCGTTCTCGCACACGAACGTCTCGTAGTTGGTGGCGAACGTTGGAGCGTTGTCGTTGACGTCCAGCACTCGGATGTAAACCGGCACGCGGCTGATCTGTCGAGGATTGTCTGAGAAACAGAGAGAAGAAGAGGACTTTAATAAAGTTTTTAACTTCTTCACGTCACACGTTAGTTTCCAGGTTTGATTCACCGGAGACAGATAAACACCAAACATGTTAGAAAACGTTATCGGTGTAAAGTCACAGTTTTCATGTCAATGATTAAGAACATTGCATTCTGGGGATTAATTAAGATAAATCAAAACCATGAAAATAAAACATATTGTTGCATGAATTAAAAACAGAAACCACTGATGCTATATTTATTATTTTGTCTTAAGGGACTTCAGCCCCTTATTCTACAAAAATAAAATCATTTCTGTCCTCACAGGTGTCCCTCCGTCTCAGTTTGAATCCTCGTCCACCTAAAAATGTGAGTTTGAGTTTCTCTGACAGAAACTTTTTAAGGAACAAACATGAAATGAGTCTTTTAAAAATGGAAATTAAAATGAAGTTTTCTGCAAAATAAAACAATTCACTTTTAAAGATTCCGGAATAAAAGCAAGTTTCAAACACTGAAGATTTCTAAAAACAGACGTGCAGTTTTTGTTTTTTTTCTTCCAGACGTTCGTGTCCGACCGTTAAGATCGTATCAGTTCAAAAACCTAATTAGTCCGAGAACGAGAGGAAGCAGACGAAGAGAGAAACTTACTGAACTCTGTGGCGATGACGGAGATGTTGTGCCAGGCGTTCTCCTCCCGGTCGAGCTCCCTGAGGATGAACACCGACCCGTTGCCCGCGTGGATGTTGAACACTCGGTCCATGTCGGTGCGTCGATCGATGGTGTACCTGCAGGAAACACACAGAGAAACAGAAAGAGGAGTTATTCACACAGAGCTGCAAGAGAAAACATCCAAATCCAAACTGGTTTTATAAGAGAAGCGAAACTAAATTAGTTTTCACCGGCACACACGAGTAAACGCGAGTTAACGAGCAGCTCCAGGTTTACGTGAGTTTACAAAGACCGAGTCTGAAATTTGTTTGAGTTCGAGTTTAACAAAATAAATCTGGATAATTCACAGATTTGACTGAACATTAAAAACGTAAATTAAACAATACACACGAGTGTTTTTGGTGAATTGACCCTTTAACAAACTACATATAAAATCTTCACACACACACACACACACACACACACACACACACACACACACACACACACACACACACACACAGTCGTGTTGTTTTCTCTTCCTCTCAGACGACTGTGATGCATCAGTGTGATTAATGGAGGAGCAGCATCAGGAGGCCGGCGTGAGGAGAAGAGACCCCGAGGGGCGACTATGAACTGGGGCTGTGACTGCTCCACTGCACCGCTCTCCTCCTCCTCCTCCTCCTCCTCCCAGCTCCTCCTCCTCCTCCCAGCTCCTCCCCGCTGCTTCTCCTGCATCAACCATTTTAGTGTCTTTATCCAAACACTCCCTCCTCGTCTCCGCTCCCTCCCGCCTCCCGCCTCCCGCCACACCGACAGTAACTCTAACCTTGTTAAAGCTGCGTCGTACTAATTGCTTTTCTAATATTCCCAATAATTCAGCTGGCTGGGCTCTAACCCTTCGCCTGATTAATGACGGGGAGATAACGGCGCCTCGTCCTGAGCGGGCGTCCAGAGTGCTGCTCTCAGCAGGCAGCTGCCGGGAGGCCGAGCAGAAGGACACGCAGGGTGAGGGGAACGTTGGGCCGGGACATATTTCCTCCTTCCTCTGTACAGAAGGTGGATGACCGGCCGCTGCACCACAGTATTTTCACGAGTCACCGATCGTCCAGGAGACGTTTCTGCTTTGATTCGTGATGAATCCGGAGGAAACGATTAGATTTTTAATATCTGCTGGTTTCTCTCAATAAGTTCATTCAACTGAAAATAGTGAAGAATCTCTGGTTCCTGAATCACAAGACAAAGTCGTCCAACAACCAAAGATTAAAGCTGCAAAAACTGAAAAAGAAATGTCGGGACCACCCCGAAAAAAAAAGAATTTCATGGAAATGGAACCAAAGTTTTTGCGTAATCTGTTGACAACAATCAGACGTGATGAAAACAAAAGTTCGGAGGAAACGACACGATGAAAACACATCAAACTTTCTTTTAGTTCAGTTTACAAAACTAAAAGTCTGAAACACTTTTTGATCTCATCATGAAATGAAGAGGACGAATGATCGTTGACATTTGTTCTTGATCCGTTAACGACAGAAACTTCCTGACGAGGCCTCGAGTCACCAACTTTCTGCCAAAAGTTTCACAATCTCTCTGTGGAAGATGAGAACTTTATCAATGAGCCACAGTGTCGACTCTGCTTGTGGCTCTGATGATGAAACGCTGTGGTTTGGTGTCATGTGCTTCCGATTGACCCAGATTCATTTCAGCCTCTAAAACCGTGTTCGAGTACAAACGTCGTCAGTGTGTTGATGATATTTAAAATATTCAGGCGACAACTTCAGAATTAAAAGTGTATAAAAGAGTTTTTTAAGTCGGAGCGACCCGTTACGCCTCGAGGTCGAAGTGAGGGGTCGACTTGTGAACCTGAAAACAACGTGAGCGAACGTGTGAGAGGAAAACGAAACCTGACATAACTTCGAAAACTGCTGCGTTATTGTTTTCAAACTATTTCACTCAAACGATCCATGTTTCAAAATAAGAGCTCAGTTTGAAGCATCGCGGCGACAACGTCGTGCTTTTGCTTTGAGGGCAAATCGCCGGACGGGGAGTGATTCTACGGACGAAAGCTCGGAGAGATAAAAATGATCAACTCGTCGGGATGATCTTGATTTGACGTTTGACCCCGACGGGAGTTTATCTGAGGACGCAGAAGACGACGCGTTCGAGCCCGTGGAGGAACTCGTGTGTGCACCGGGGCCTGAATGTGCACGTGTCAGCGTGTGCGGCGGCCGTGCGAGCCAATAAAGATAACCATCTCATGCCAGGCGGCCCTCAGGTTTCCTGCCGCTGCTCCTCCTCCTCCTCCTCCTCCTCCTCCTCTAAATGCCACCGGGTAGCTACCTCCTTGATGATGGGCGATAAAAGAGAATGATATCATATTTGACACCTGCAGTAAAGTGGTGGAACTTCAACCTTGAGAGCCAACTCCCTTAGTGCGTCGTAAAAAATGAAAAAGTCTTTGAGACGAAGGCGCAGCCTCACAACCCCGCTGCCATCACTCCCCTTCAACAGAACACGGGCGCAACGTCGACGCGGT